GGGGGAAGAGAAGAAACAAAGCAACTTTTTTTAAAATTAGTATTTTCTCTTTTTTTCAGTGTGTTTACTTTGTGCATTTGACAGTACTTCGTGAGCAGCCAGTCTGACTCTTTTGGGGTAATACACCCCTCTCTTCAGACCCTAAAAAAGAGAAGTATGCATGCAACAGGCATCTAACCATGAAAAAAAGAAAAGGGAGATGATGAGTGAGCTTGAGCATGTTTGATGGTGCTACTCAAAGTATTGTCCAAAAGATCCTTCTGAATATAAGCAGGACAGCAGAAAAAATTTCCGTTTTTCCTTTTTAAAAAGGATTTAAAAAAAAAAAAGGACAGATCATGCCCTTTAAACCATGTTCCAACCAGAAAGGTTTTTTTTTGAAGTAATAATAAATCAATAAAAATAAACATTTCTATGTCCCTTCAAGCTCAGAGTATTCTTTTCTATGTTCTGTTAAGAGTATCTACTTGACAAAAAAATTACAGGGTCAGAATGTAGCCAATGTAACACATAGCCCAAGATGTTAAAAAAAGACTGTACTTTTAAAATATTCACATAAATTAATATTTGGACTGATGTAGCTATCTTTAGAAAGTGTGAATTCTAATTATTCAATACATCTAAATGCCAGGTAGTGCCTTTCATCCCAAAAGGATTCCAAAAAATATTATAAATATTACAGATTAAGGTCAAAATTTTCAAACTTGAGAGACTGTACTTAAGCTTCTTAATTTGTATCTGGCATCTAAACAAAAGTGGCCTGATTTTTTTTTTTTTGGAGGTCCTGAGTACCCACAAGATGTTACTGAAATTAATGGGAGTTGCAGGTGCACAGAACCTCTGAAAAGCACCCTCCTTTTATATAGGTGGGCAAAGATGAGTTAAGAGTCCTTACTTTAGGAACCCAAGTTTGAAAATTTTGGCTTAAAATTATTTTATATGTATGCACGGAATCCTTTCATCCACTGCGGAAATGTAGTCACCTCTGGCATAAAACATTAAAGCTATTTAAAGACCTGTTGCTAAGAGGTTTTCAGCAACTGCAATTCCCATTGATTTCTGGCCCCAACAGTGCACCGCAACAGAACAAAAGCAAGTTGAGGATAAAAAGTGAAGAATACCCCTCATAGGCAACTGAAAGCGAAAGGGGAAATGTTAGGTTGCTAGAGTGTTCCAAGGATCTTTAATGATCATAAACAGTCAATATCTGGGTTTTACATCTCGCCAACAGCGTAAGGCCCTAACATACTGTTGCTAGGTCCCTTACATCTCAGAGGAAAGAGTGCCACCTACTGATTCAGCAACATCACATTTTAATGCATTTCTCCAGTTAGAAAATGGCAGGAATTAAAATAAATTAATGGTATAGACTGAACTCTCACGTAAGGAAAAAGCTACAATGGTACTATGTTTATACATCATAATTATTTAACTAAAGCAGAGACAAAAGGAGCAAAAATTAGAAGTCTATGAAAACTTATCAGAAGTCTGTTTAGCTTCATGCTCAAGGAAAAAACAGACTGAACGGAAGTACTGTGATCAAAAAGCATGACGCCTTTCCCCTTGCCTGACTGAATAATGATTAATGTAATATGCATTTCAAAGGCAAAAAAGGATACTTTCATGACTCAAAGACTGATTTTGGATGGTAGTATCTGTCATATCCCTTAAAATCTTCTGAGAACTTTAACGTACAAGTTACACATGTAGATATTGAAAATTAACGCCTATAGCTAACATGTTTTTTAATTTAAAGTTTATAGTTTTAACTGCGTAACTCTATAATCTTATCAGCCATGTTTGTTTATTTTTGTTTTAAAACACAAGTTACAAATCAAACGTCTGCATAATTATAATATTTCCAGCATAGAACTCTGAACTAAAGAGCAATACAGCAATCAGAAATTCACACAGGAATAGGACGGCAACCAAGACTTTGGTGAAAGCAATGGAAAAAGTACGAAAGAAGATTTTTAATAGATGGAGAAAAAACATACAGCTTTCTAGTATTTACTGTAATGTTTTGATTTTTTTAAACATATACTCAACTCATCTTTAAGAAATTCTCCAACAAAATAAGATGTGTTTTGAATTATAACTTACCAAGTACAAGAAATATCCACCAAAGCCAGTACTGTCCATTGAAATATCCAGTAAAGTAGTCTGAGAACTAAAACAGACAAGGATTAGCCACAGTAATACACAAAATAAATTACATTTAATATTTTAAATGCATCTAGGACAAAAGAAAAAAACAGTGAACTAGCACATTTAAATATAAAATAATGCATTGGAGTAGAAAAGCAAAAATATTTGAAGAAGCTGTAAAATACACAAATAGCTTCAGTGTTGTGTTTTTCAAACAAAGAATTTCCAGGCTCTCTTGTGAAAAAGTATCATATTACTCATTTGAATCATCTGACATTTTCTATTATAATGAATTACTGTCAGCTCTTTTTCAATTTCTGCCATCCCAAACACACTACAGCAGCCTGCTGCTTTAGATATTAACACTAAAAGCCACATTTGTTTAATCTTATCAGACGGGGATGTTCTGCTGACCCTTCAAAAGAAGAGCTTTTGACCTTCTGTACACCCCCTACTGTTAATCGCTGCCAAGAATACCAGTCCCATAAAGACCCCCAACTCATTAAAAAGTCTTTTCATTTTCAAGCTAGATGCTCCAGCATTCAGTTCCCAGCAGTGAACTGAACACAGCTAAATGAACCTTGAAGTGGCATTTCAACTGTTCCTGTTAGTGACTATGGTAGACAGTCTTGTCCTCTCTGTGATGTGGAAATATGAACAGGCAGCTGGAGGGCAGGGTGTGATGGTATTGGAGACCGGTATCTTTTCCTTTACCAGACTGCATGCTTCACTGATAAAAAAAGGCTAATCAAATGCCTCCAGAGCTCACTTCAGATCTCTCGCTACTCCTACTTCCAACTCTAACTCTTCCCTAAAAATTATTAAAACAAACAAAAATAGTTTGTTTAGTTGCAGCAATTCAATAATTTTCTGTACATTTCCTGTCCTACCACTACTCAACATGTTGTGACAGTATGCGTCAAGAGGTTGCCTAGGTCGTCATTTCCGGCACATTTTGTAAAATATGTTTAAGTCCAGACAACACTTGTACTAAAATGAAGATAGTGCTCAGATCCTCACTTGAAGTAAATCAATGGAATTCTATAGATTTAGACCAGTGAGGATTTGGTTTATGATCTTTATTTTCACTCTGAAAAAACTATGAATGATTTTCTTTCTTTATTTAATTACAAAAGGTTTCTGTTTCTAACAGCATTCACTCACTCCAAGCAACTTCTTTTAAATAAATAAATAAATAAATAAATAATAAAATCAAGTATTCACGTAGGGAAGAGTCCGTGTTGGAATTGGGAGTTGAGACATTTTTATAATTGTTTCAGTTATCAAATTCATATCTCATGGATTCCTAGATTGTTAGCATCAGTTGCTTCAGACACACAGAATCATAGAAATGCAGGCTGGAAGGGACCTTAAAAGGTCACAAATCCAGCCCCCTGCACTGAGGCAGGACCAAGTAAACAGACCATCCGTACACAAGAAACCCCATAGTAGGCTTATTTTGAATAATCTCAGGAGAGCCTCCTTCTAATTTCTAACAAGGGTGAGATTCTGACCCCCCCATCCACCCTGGCCTTTGTACACTAGGTAAAAAGGACCAAAGTAGCATAAAGAGACTCTAAAAGTCCCGAATCAGCCAAGAGAAAATTCCCTTGGCACAGAAACTGAGGAAACAGCTATAGGCTGTCTTTCTGAGAAGCCCCTGCTCACAAGTACTGGAGAGGAGGCATGGCTGGGAGGGGTGGGACATATTAGGCAGAGGCCACAGCACATAGTGCTACAGAGATTCTTGGCAACGATGCCGCATTCAAGGCAGCCAAATGAGGTTGTCATAAATTAGACAATCCTCCAAGGCTGAATTACATCAATAGCTGCTGCAGCCCCTTGAACAGTCCAGAATTGGGAGGGCACAAAAGATGGCTTAATGCCTTAGCCTCCACCTTCCTTGGATTGGGCTGAAAGTTCTGTGCTGTGCCTCTAAAAAGGTGCTTCAGTTTCACAGATTCATAGAGTTTAAGCCCAGAATTGACTATTAGGTTTTAGCACAGCACAAGTTACCAGGCTCGATGCAGGATTAACTGGGAGCAATTTAATATTTTGTGATATACAGGGCAGACTAGATAACCTATCTCCCAGAATGGCATCCAGAGAAGACAACAAGAGAAGGAGAATCTCCCATTTCGTTTGGTAGTTTGCTCCAGTGGTGAATAAGCCTCACTGTTAAAAACGTGCCTTTTTTCTATTTTGAATTTGTATGGCTTCAGTTTCCAACTTCTTGTTATGCCTTTTCCCACTACATTAAAAAGACCTTTCATAGGTGTCATCCCCCCCCCCCCCCATGAAGATATTTATACGCTAATCAAGGTACCTCTCAATCTTCTTTTTGAGAAACTAAAGAGATTGAGCTCTTTAAGTCTCTCACTGTAAGGCATTTTCTCCAGTCCAGTGAATCATTTTTTGCATCTCTTTTTTGCACACACTTGAATTTTTAAAAATCCTTTTAAAAAAGATTAACAGAACTGGATATAGTATTCCAGTATCATTCTAGATATTCTTGTTATCCATATAAGGTGTCCAAATCTTTTTTTAATCTTGACAAATTCTTGGCTTCAACAGACTGTGGTAATGAGTTCCATAGTTGGGTTTTTGTTGTTGTTGTTGTTTTTTTTGAAGTGTTTCTTTTTAGTTTTAAATTTTCCACTGTTCAGTTTCATTTAATGCCTCCTTGTTCTTGTATTATCTCCTCATTATTATTAATTATTTTATATACTTTATCATATTGTCTCCTCTTAGTCTATTTTCTTCTAAAATAAATAATCCCTGGGGGAAATCTAAAAAGAGAGAGGTATAAGCAAATATCCTAGTGGGAAAACAAAGGTCTGCTGGTGGAGTCACTGTGTTGACAGATTCGGGGAATGTCACAGAAAACAGCAATGGAGCTATTCAGAAAGAGGACAGCCTTAAAATGCCTTCACCTCCCAAAAGGTCAAAGGAGGCCCTGAACCATTTTTAAAAGTCCCCTATTATATTCTACATAGGCTCTTGAACCGATAGATTTGATGGCAGATAAGAAGCCAAGCTTATTATGCACCTTTATGATTTGTTTTTTGTATCTTTCACAGTTGAATCCTTTTTGACAGAAACAGGCATGTAGCAAGGTAAAATTATTACAGCAGATAAAAAAGTAACATTAAAGAATCTACATATTACAAGACAGTAAAAGCTGTTAAGGGAATTAAAATAATCAAGTTCACTGACAAAACGTTGCAATTTCCACATTAGTAAATATTTATCGCATTAACTTAAAATATTAGAACATCTAATAAAAGTCAATACACTAGTTTAAACTGCATTTTAAAGAAACTAGACACCATGAATCATTTTTCTATTTTCATTCCATAAAAACACAGGCACAAAATATCCATCAAGAACCTTACCCGTACAATGAGAATCCATTTGATCAGCGATAGGCCAAATCCACAGATTGCACCATACCTTCCTGCTATGGTGTTAGTTATACAGAAGGATAAACAAAATCCAATCCAGTTGAAAATAAATGCCACTAAGACCAAGAGAAACAGTAGTTGTGTTAGTGACAGTGCACTCGTGTTTAGCCATATAAAATAAATATAACTAATTTACTTTAATGTACTAATAAGTATATTTACAAGATTAGAGGTCTGTATTATTATTTCAGATAAAAATAGTATCCTTCAGAAATGTAGGTGTTCCTAATGGTATATACGCCTTAAAGTACACTAGCTAATATCTATCACCCAGCTACTTTGAACAGAGAAGAAAACTAAATAAAAGTAGATTCCCTCTTAAAAAAAAAAAAAGAAGTGTTCTATCCTCCACAGAACTCTGACTGGAAGCTACAGACCCACAGGAATAAACATCGAATAAGCACTATGAATTAGATAAATACATGAAGTGATACATTTGTCTTAGAACTATGAAAATCGTAGTAAGATTAACAATAAGGAAAATGCAATTACAAACATTTGACTGATTCTATGCAGAGATTTGCCGAGTCTGGATAAAAAAAATATATATTTATTTTGCGCTATAAATTGATAAGGTGAAAATATCTATCGAGAGGCTGACATATTACAAGAACAGGACTCTGTGTGATGACCATGATTTGGTATCAATGAAATCTGATACCAGGACTTGGTGGTATAATACAATCTGCAATATTTTATTCAGGTAAATGGGATACATTTTGATAACATCTATTTTCATGGGAAGTCTCACAAAAATACCACTGTGCTTAAAATTTTCATACTGCTCTAACAGACCAATCTCATTCTTCATACAAGTTCTTAATGATTGGCCTTTTACAGTTTTAGCAGCAGTCAGCAAGTGAGAATGATAATGTCTGGTCTGTACTGACATCAGCTTGTAGGTGATGGACAAAGCGTGCGAATTCTCAATAAAATGGTCTCCAAGCAGTGGGAGTAACTGGAAGCTTTTGGCCTTTTTCTTTTTTTAAAGGGTACCAGAACCCTTGGGAGAGAGAAGTAGGACAAGAAAGCTTAAAAGAGTTCTGGAGTGGATGAGACAGTGGGAAACTGAAGAGATCAAAGGGTATTGGCTACACTGCAGCTGGGAGCATAATTTCCCAGCCTGGGCAGACAGATACATGTAACCTCTGCTCAAGCTTGTGTGTGAAAAAGAATAGTGCGGATGGTGCAGCATAAGCTATTTGCCAGAGTATAAACCTGCCTAAGCCCGTGGGTATGTACCTAGGTGGATAGCCTGTGCGACTGCCTGCGCTGCAGCATCCTCATAGCTATTTTAGCATGTTAGCGCAAACAAAGGTAGTACATGTCTGTCTACCTGGGCTGAGAGGCATGGCCCTATCTGCAGTGCAGACATACTGTGTCTTACTTCCTGATTTGTCAACCACTTGGGAGAGACTATAGAGGCTAAGTCGGTCTGCCAGAATTCTTGCTTAGCTTAGAGAAAGGGAGATCAATAAGGTCTCCTTACATATTTCTAGCTGTAAGCTTCAATGACTTATCCATACAGGGTTGATGTAAGCTGAGCTTGTCCCCTCCTGATTACTGTCTAGTACATTTATATTCCAAAGGGAGCTGTCTTTCAGTAGTCAGAATTTCTAGCCATAAATGAAATCCAGTGTAAAACAATATACTTTGCACCGTAACTTAGCTGACTGGAGCTACAGTTAATGTTTGTCAGGAAAGCAGCACTCCAAATACTTGGTTTCTGGATATTTGAATACATTGGAGGTAATTGCATATGCTTTTTTCCCTACTTTTAGTCCCCCGCATCCCAATGTTCCAGATATACAGTATCCCAAGATCCAGGAAGGGTCTGTGACCTCTGCTCGCCCTTTCCACAAGGCAGGCCCTTGCACCCCCAGTCCAGGGTTAGATTAAGGTTCCTTTACCCAGGAGTCCCCGCCTTCCCCAATACTGAGACCCCTCATGGGGCTCTTTCCTTCTCCAGTCCCCCCTTAATTGCTTCTTGTTCCTCCACCCCTCAGACAGATTCAGTGGCAAAACTGGCTCCTGTCCTGTAAGGGTTAAATCAACCTCCTGCATAGGGACAACAGGCAAGGAGTACTCTCTGCCCTGAACAGGGCATGGTCACAAGGCAAAGGTGAGTTGATGAGTCGCAGGTGCTATCTTTGTTAAACAGAATCCTTTCAAGCATTTGCTGTGACATACGTTACAATTGCAGTAACTTTATTGGCAGGACGGTGTAAAAGCACATCAGGGTGACTCTTCCCCACAGAATCCCCCAGGGCAATAAAGGGGTACAGCTAGAAGAGCAAGTCTGGGCCATGTGCTGGACAGTGGGAAACAGCTGCCCATTATGCTGTGCAATGGGAGTGCCTGTTATGGGTACCAACCAGACATGTGCCAGGCCCCACTGTCAAGGGACCAGCTCTCCCCACTAGCACAGCAGGCCCCATTGGCACCTCCTTGCCTGCCAGTTGCACTGCCCTCTTTGGTGCATCACAGTACAGTAGTGGGTCCATGACAGGCAAAAGTTGACGGAGCAGCTGCTGCATGCTCCTTCTCAAGGCCTTCGGCTTCAGGAACATTGCCCAGGTGTTCCTGCATTGGGTGCTCTCATTGAAAAATCAAATAACTCTACAATACAGACCACTCCCTGTTTCAGTTAGTTCAGCTACTCTCTCACTAATGCATTTATATCCTGCTTTCTTTATAGGCTGGTGCCATTAATTTTAGCACTATATCACTTGTGCAGTCAATCGCGCTAGTTTGCCGCAATTTGTACTCTGAACACAATTGTGAAACACGAAAGGTGCTTTACAAAATAAAATTTTGTGCACTCACTCTTACAACTACATTGATCAAAGCCCTTTTACTTTATTACTCATTCTCGAAAAGAATAGGTTTTTCAATGGGAGGAGTTAGACAGCAAATTATTTGGTATGAAGTGCAGACTCTTACACTCAATAGTGAACAATAATAAATAAATAGAACTGCTATAGTATAGTATGATAGAGCTAGATATCAGTACATCTTGGAATTCTTAATAGCTTTTTTTTAAAAACTGGTCTAAAGAATTGTATAAAAAAATCTCCATAGGGAAAATAGTTTAACTGACAAAATAAATATTAAGTTGTGGATGTTCTACTTCAAAAATATAGAGCTTACTTTCAAGCTATTACAAACTTCTGTGCACTCACTTGGGAAAACTCAAGTGAAACTTAAGTATGACAAAATTTTTCCTCTTGATGTAGAGCCGCCTAAATATTTTGAAGGGAAAATGACAGAAGTCCAAAGTTATTTTATCAAACATGCATCAAAGTTAAAGAATCTCCCAAGCATACCAATGAAGGGGGGGGACCCCTTAATTTTATTATATAAAGCACTCTTGCTATCTACTATAGTGGAACCTATTTATCATTACGTTTTGTTTACTCTATATTTGAAGTGCACACATGAAGTGAAATGGAATTCAACCCAGAAATTTGTCTTGAAAGCCCTCAAGTCTTTACCAAGCTTATAACAAGGCTGTGGAAACAGCTTTCAATGTATATGATTACCATTTAAAAACTTGCAAGTTAAAAAAAAAAAAACACCAAACTTACTTCTGCACACAGAGCCCTCTCCTGATTAGAGGCAGTGTTCAGCATACATTTCCTAACTAAGTGCAATTTTCTTTTTACCTTATGTAGTCTTCACTTCTTGCCAGTTTTCATTTCTAAAATGACATTCCTCTTAGACTTCAGCTAATATGAAATTTTCAAGTAAGATATCGTAAGATGGATTTCTGAAGTTTGGCAACATATGTTGCCTTTCTTCCACTAATTCTGTAGTTTGATTTAAAAAAGAGTAAGTTTTTGTCTGGCATTACTAGTGCTATATAAAGCCCATGCTGTTTCTCACTTACGGTTTAGTTACCCTCTAGGGTTGTACCTCCCAACTGCCATGTCTTGCACAAAGAGGATTTGTGTACAAAATTAAGTTGATGGGAAAGATGGAATTACTCTACCCTCTGCCAATCTGGGGACAGGCTGCAATGCAGCCCCTCCTTGGTCCTCTGTATAGAATACACCATCTTGTGGGCTAGCAGGCACCACTGTGTAAGGGACAAAAAGGAGGAGTTCTAGGTTCCTTGCTCTCCGTAGAAGGATTGTTCCAAAATATGATTGAAGCCTATTAGCAGAGCAGCTGTCACTGCTGCTACTCATACTGTACTGTACCATGGAAAGATTTCAGTCTCCAGGACTATCCATCCGGGATCTGCCAAAAACACTACCACTTTACTCAGTATTGAAACAGCTGAAAATACCTTAAGAACTCAGAGTCAGCAACATAAGTTGCCACATTTAAAAAAACCTTTACAAGTAACATCTCTCGCTCTTAAGAAAAATTATAAAGAAAAAACTTTTTTGCCATTTCCTATTATGATCCTATTTGGGTCAAACATGGCCTTCTGTGTCTTAAGCCTTAAAGGCAGGGGAACAGGACAACTTCACTCAGAGGAACTGCATGCAACAGAGGATGCAGGTTAAAAAAAGAAAAAAATCATAAGCCTCAAAGAGTCTCAGCAGTTAAAATACCACTAATATTTTCGGTGCCAAAGGAGCTCTACTCTACTCCCTTTCCATTCTGTTCTACACTGATGGTTATACTGCCCCCACCACCATCTGAGTCTCTTTCAGTAGGGATACCATACGTCCGGTTTTTCCCGGACATGTCCGGCTTTTCGGCAATCAAAACCCCGTCCAGGGGGAATTGCCAAAAAGCCGAACATGTCCGGGAAAATGCCAGCCGGGCACTTCCCCTCCCGCGGCTGCTCTGCTCCTCCCCTGACTCTTCGGCTCTGTTTAAGAGCCGAGCGCTACGGGCTTCGGGCAGCCCTTTCGCATGGCTGGGAGTGGGAGGGAGGAAGGGGCGGAGTCAGGGTGGGGCTGGGAAATGGGCGGGGCCAAGGCCCCGTAGAGCTTCCTCTTTTTTTATTTGTTAAATATGGTAACCCTACTTTCAGCAGCACACAATCACCAGGCTAACATCTGATACATGTTTATTCTCTCTCAGACCCTCTTCCCAGGGG